GTTGACATTAAGTAGACCACGTCCTGATACCTCTGAGAACTCATGCGTAGGACCTCAGCATAGATCCCCCACCCCCATAATTGCAGTAAAAGATAACAGGAATGACTAGACAGAATGAGAGGGACCAGCAAGGTCCCTCTGACGTTGGAGGCCCAGCACCGCACACATCAGATGGTGTCACACCTGGATACTCCAGATTCTCACCTCAGCAATGTTACAAGTGATTGCGTGTCCTAGGCCTTTGGGTAGCTTATGCATAGTCCAGTCCACATGCGTAAAAACCCCTGACTGCTAGGTCCTGCCATGCTTCGTGAAAAGCAGCCCTTGTTATAAACACCCTGGTACGTTTGTTTGTCATGGTTATAAATAATTGATTTATGGCTGCTTTATTTTTAGTCATATGCATGTTTGTCCCTTTATGCTTCCAGGGTATTGTGAGAGCGATTCGAGATTTCCAGGGCCCCCTAAAGGAGCACGAGGTCACTATCTTTGTCCGAAGAGGTGGTCCCAACTATCAAGAGGGCTTACGGGTGATGGGAGAAGTTGGTAAGATGGGGACCTTTTCTCTCCCTCCCACCCTGAGTGTCGGTGGCCTGCTTCCTTGGGAGTTCTGAAAGAGTCAGTCTTCGGGTACTTCCATGCCCTCTCACTCATTTCTCTGGTACGCAGCTTTCTACCTCTGCTTTCTGCCCTCCTCTGACACAGAGCACCCGTCCTAAACTGCAGAATCGGCAGTAAAGCATTTTCACTTAGCTGTTCATTTTCCAAATATTGGCGGAACGCCTGCTCTGTGCTGGACTCTGCGCTAAGTGCTGGGGTTACAGCCACACACACGCCAGCCAGCCAAGCCCTCGTGCCGTTGAGAACAGTGACTGTAATGTCAGGTAGCGCTAAGCATGTGAAGGAAAACAAAGCAGGGTGAAGGGATAGCGTGTGTAGGAGGGAGGGGGGACAGTTTTAAATGGGGTGATCAGAGAACGCTTGACTGGAAAGGTAACATTTGGGCAAAGACCCGGCAGGGAGGCAGGAGCAGGTTTGTGGTGACTATCTACAGGAAAGGCAAACTCCAAGGACCTGAGGTGAGAGTACCAGCGTGTGCAGGCCCAGCAGGGAGGGCCAGGGAGTAGGGCCAAGGGAGTGAGTGGCAGGTTATTGGGAGACAGAGGCAGAGAGGCAGTGGGGGCAGACATGGGGCTAGTACAGGCCCTGGAGGTACTTGGCTGTCACCCTGGGTTGGCAGCCACTGGGAGAATTTGACCAGGTAGGTGACACAATTTGACTTAGGTTCGAAGGGTCATTTTGGCTGCTTGGTGGAATACAGACCAAAGGGCAACCACAGTAGAAGCAGGGAAAGCACTGAGCAGGCTGTGGTGGCCTGGATGTGGGGACGAGAGGGCACGCATCTGGTAACTGGTAGAACCGGAGAGTTGCCCCTTGTTGAGATGCAGGAGGAGAATGTGTGGCATCCGTTTTGGTTTCCTTTCTCCCTTCTGCGTTTTGAGTGGCTCCTGCAGGTTCACAAGGACCTAAAACTCAGAGCATTCAAAAAGTCTAGGACCGTATCTCATCAGTCAGGACTAAATTTGGGCCTCTCTGAGTTGACCTGACTGAACCCGAAACCTATGAACTTCGTGACCAGCAGCTTTGGTCTTGAGTAAAGTGCAGCCCCGTTGCTGAGAGCATTTACGTGTGGAGCAGGTTCATATGAAGTGCCAGAGGGGTGACAGACATAAGACACTCGTTCTCAATGAGTGTGCTCTTTGATTGGATAGACAAAACCTCTTCATCTTCCTGTTTTTCCAAATCTGGTACCCACAGCAAACACTAAACCCACCTCGATCACTTAAAGTGTCAAGTCCTAGTTTTCTCCTAAAAAGTATCTGCTATGGGCCCGGCCCTCAGGACAGCACAGTCACAGTTGTGACATTAGACAAGTAAACAATAACTGGCACAAGAGGCTGATCTGTATGGTGAAACAGGCAGCGGGGTGTGGAGAGGGCAGAGAAGGCCTTTCTCAGGAGGTGGCACTTGAGCTGTGTGACAAGAACAGCCTGGTGGAGATCTTGGGTGAGAGCGCTCCATGCAGGGGAAGGAGCAGGACCAGAGGCCTGGGCAAATGAGCCCAATGTTCAAGAACAGAGGTCAGGCCAGGGAGGCTGGAGTGTGGCAACAGCAGGCAACGAGGGGTTTGGAGAGCCAGGGTCAGGCTATGAACCAGAGGAGCGTAAACACCAATAATGGTCACTTGACAGTGTCAGCAAAGCTCTTTCTTGTTCTTATCTCAGCAGATGGTCTTTACAAAGATTTGTTTGGTATTGAAGATATGACAGCTGATTTGTCTCAGATAATTGCACACAAAGTGCCAGACATCAGGCAGGACTCTAAAGGGACCTTTGCAGAGTCATTTGGACTTTGGGCAGTTACTTGAAGACTTGACTGATGTGCTCTTTTCCCCCTTTCACAGGGAAGACCACTGGAATCCCCATCCATGTGTTTGGCACAGAGACTCATATGACGGCCATTGTGGGCATGGCCCTGGGCCACCGGCCCATCCCCAATCAGCCACCTACAGCCGCCCATACTGCAAACTTCCTCCTCAACGCCAGTGGGAGCACATCGGTAGGTGCCGGCTGGCTTCTGCCTTAAAGCCTGCTGCGCCATCTTTGTCAGCCTCTCACACTGCCATCCCATCCAGGACACGGTGCACCTCCTCTCTCCCTAGCCATTTGGGGACATTAGGGAAATGGAGAGGGAAGTAGCACATAGTTAGTTTCCAGATCTGCCAGGTTTTTTTCTATACCTGTCAAGGTAGTATAATGGAAAGACTAGGGGTTTTTAAATCAGACCTGAGTTCACGTTCTGCCAAGGGGAGAGACCTCAGCAATTATCATACCTGCTCAGAGCCTCAGTTCGCTCATCTGTAGCATGAGGACAATACTAATGCCTGTCTCAGAAGGGTGTTAGAATACTTCTGTTGGAAGCAACTTGTAAGAACAGTGCTGTACTTAGTTCTTATTACCCGATTTCTTTGGGGGCCTTAAGGACGAATGCCCTTTTTTCTCTAGCTGCTACCCGTGACTTACTCTCTCTCCTTGTCCCACCCCAGACTCCAGCCCCCAGCAGGACTGCGTCTTTTTCTGAGTCCAAGGCTGATGAAGTGGCACCTGCAAAGAAGGCCAAGCCTGCTATACCACAGGGTAACTCCCAGCTGCTTTGGGCCCTCTGTCCTTCTCCCCTTTCTGGGCCCAGTGGGCCAGCAGAAGTGGTGGAAGGCATTGGACTTTGCCATGAGAGTAGATGCGGTGCATGGGATGGGACAGACCGGAGGATGCTCTGAGTCTTCCCTGTGGGCTCTCCTGGTGCCTGGGATCCACACTGAGTCTGGGTTACCTGGGTAACCTCACTCTCCACTGTCTTCTTTTCCACTTCCTTCCGTGGACGTGTGTGAGCTGGGCAGGGGGCTGCGGAGGAAACAGGGCTACAGAAATCCCAGAAGGTGGGAAGGTATCCCAGACTCTACTCCTAAGTGGAAGGCTGGAGCCTGGAGCTCAGGAAGGCAGAGCAAGCTCTCATACAGCAGTAGTTCTCGCCCACCCCATCATCCTGGGGCTCCTACAAAGACATTCCTTTCCTGTGAGCCCACTATAAGAACTCAAGCTGTCCCCAAGCCCGTCTGTACTTTGCCTACTTCATTTCTCCATCTTCCGATTCATCAAAGACATCATCTCTACCAGCCAGCTCTTGCAACCAATATTCAATAACCAGTGTTAGTCACCACTGGCCTGGTGTAGCCTGTGTACCCTCTTCCTGGTACAGACAGAGCATGTCTAAGGCATTTTGTGAAATAACACTGGCTCCAGGCTCCCAAGATTGAAACCCACTGCCCTGCAGTCCCCACATCCATAGCACAGAATGACAGGTTTAACCCCACGGTGGTCTATTCTTATTATGCTTCATGGGGACAAAATGAGATTGGCGTTAAGAGGCTCCAGAGGGCCTGGGTGGGGGCCGCAGTGTTTGGGGCACCTTCCAAGCCTTCATGCCCCTCCTGCCCCTCTCTCTGCCCCCTTTGGTTCTTTGCCCTTTCTTGCTTCTGCTTTGCTGATTGGTACTGTCTCCTCTTCTGCTGGCTTTACTTCTGTTGATTGTGGATTAGATGAGAGATGGTGAAGGCATCCACCCTGCTAGACTTGTCCATGGGATCCTTCCCTGTTCCCACTCTCCTCCTCCAAAGCCTCCAGCTATCAGCAGGTCACTCAGTTGCCTTGGTCATTTTCTTTGACAGATTCAGTCCCAAGTCCAAGATCCCTGCAAGGTAGGACACCCCTGCCCCACCCAACTCTGCGTGTCGCTTGTTAGTGGGTTGCAGTCTTACCATGTGCTTTGTTTCCCCCTCCCCAGTGGGTTGCAGTGTTGTCTGGTATATTTCATCCCTGCCTTGGTGTGGCCTGTCCCCAAGTCCTAGTCTTTGCTTTCCCTTCCTTCCCACCCCCACTTAGTTTGCATCCTTCTCAGTGCTCTCCTGGCCTTGTGGCTGTCTCTGGCTCCACACTCAGGAGGTGGGTGGAGACCCCAGGCCCACAGCCTTGGAGAGGGGTGGTACCTAGGAGGGCGGGTCCTCCTGGGAAGGAGGGAGCCACTGAAACTGAAGGGGAAGTGGCAGAGCACAGTGGGGGAGGAGGGGAGCCACAGACCACCCCCAAATCTCATCAGCATCTCATGATGGCATCACTTTCTTACTTTGCCCACCTCAGTCTCACCACCACCAACTTTTTATCCCGGAGCTCCCAGTACCAGGGACAAGTTCAGATTTCTCTGGGTTTAGGTGGAAAATGAGATAGAAAAGGAGAGGGTGCCATGTAGAAGGGGACTGGGCTTTGTCTGGTGTCTGAGGTCACTGTTCAGGACAGTCATACACAGAACGCACATTCACCTGTTCAAAGCATCAAGACTTCTCTTTTACTTCTTGACATTTGTTCACAGCCGCAGGAGATTTCAACCTGGGGAAAGGGAGTCTTATGATGATATTCGACCCCTTGCAACTAGTCAGGAGTTGCTTATGTCACTCCAGAAAGGCCAAGAATGCAGCCCTTGGGCCATTTGGCAAGATCCATTGTTTCTTAAAAGGCTGACCTGTGGCTGAGCAATGTGCTAAGAGAATAGAGGCCACTCTTGATATCCCAGAGCTCCTCTACCTTGAGGGAAGGGTTTGTGCTTACCATCAGTCCCTGAGCTATGCTGAGAAGTGGGAGAGGAAGGACCAATTGTGCCAAGATAGGCCCTTCCCTCAACTCTAGAGGAGGAACCATGTGGGGAGCTCCTAGCCCCGGAGCAGGGTTTGTCTCTGGAGCTTCCCTGATGCTGGTGGGCTGAGGATCACCCCCATCTGCTTTGGTTCCTCAGTGCTAGAGGAGGTGAGCACTCTGGTTCTGCTGCTTTCATACAGAGGGTTGGGTGGGTTTGTAGAGATTCCAAGCCCTGTCCTGATTTCTGTAGCCTCTTAGGTGGACAGATGTGTGTATGTGCATATGTGCATGTGCTGACTCGGGCGTGGGCTCCCCCGAGGATGGGAGTGGTGGGGCCACGCCGGCTTATATTCCTCTTCCTCGCTTGCACAATTGAGCTGTAATCTACTGGCTCTGATGCTAGATGACCTAGGATCTCCGTCATTTGGCATTTCTGGGCTTCAGTTTCCTGGGACTGAGAAGTGAGGGCACTGGATTAGGTGGCTTCCCTTGTTCTATGATCTCATGTCTCGTCGGAACCCGGATGAGTCCAGTGACAGTAAATTCCGGGTATTTGCAACATCAGGAGCATGTATCATGAGTAGCTAATGGCTGCGGTAGAAGAGGCGGGCCTTTGGAGATGAGAAATCTACGTGCCTTGGGAAACTGAACTCTTCAGTTCACTTAATCAGACTTTGAACTTGGTAGCTAAGCCTGCACTAGTACAGTAGGTTAATTAATACCAGATGCCACTGAGCTCCGTGCACTGTTTTCCCCCTGGAGATGAGAGCCTCCCCTGAGGGCTACTTCCTTCCAGTGGGGCTTGCAGGAAACAGAAAGCAAGGTCACCTCCTTGCAGGATGGTACAGGGGTCTTTCCCTTCAAGGCTGAGGAATCCACTTCTGCCAGCTATTTTTGTTCCTTATTTTTGCCCCTCGCCCCTTCTGAGAGCTCAACCAAGAGCACTGTTCTGAACAGGAAGGAGCCACCTGGTGGAGGGAGGAGGTGAGAGGAATATAGCCTGCTGCTCTGGCCTGGCCCCTTGCCAGAGCCCCGGAGATAAGGGTGAGAAACCTCTTCATTAGACCTACACTGACCTAGAATCTTGAGAATTCAAATCCTGACCCGAGATGGTTTATGTCCAGATTTCAAGGTTATGAGATTCTTGGGGAATTATGTAATTTCTTTCCATCACCAAAATCAGGAGAGCTTAACACTTTCCCAGTGACTTTAAAAATAATTTATCAAGCCCCATTTGCCGATAGGCATGAGGCTGATTACACACCTTTCCTGTGAAATCGAGCAGGCCCTGTAGGAATCCTTCTGCTGGGCTTGTTCTCTGCAGGGAGAGTCCTTTCTCTGTTCGTTCCAGAAGAAATCGAGGCACCTCTTTCCCCAAGTTCTCAGAATTCCGTCCTCTTGACTTTCCTTTGTGGGTTTGATTAGCCTCCTTCCCTGGACTTGGGGCGTGGAGGGGTCTGGCAGGTAGCCCCTGCCCCTGTGGGTCTCACTGGATGTGTGTTCTGGGTGCACGTGTGGTGTCTTTGCCTACCAGGGAGGAGTGCCACCCTCTTCAGCCACCACACCAAGGCCATCGTGTGGGGCATGCAGACGCGGGCCGTGCAAGGCATGCTGGACTTTGACTACGTCTGCTCCAGAGACGAGCCCTCAGTGGCTGCCATGGTCTACCCTTTCACGTGAGTCATGCCACGGCAGGGAGGCTGCAGGTACCTGCCAAGCAGGATCTCCACCTAATCTCCGCCTCACTGAGAAGGCGCTGAGGAAGCAGCTAGATTATCCCCTTCGCTAGGGAAGCCTCTGCCCATCCCAGACTGCGGTGATCCCTGTTTCTAGGGGTCTTTTCCCACAGATGGAAACTCTGAGGGCAGAGACCCTGCCTGTCCACCTTCTAGATGCTCCTCCCATTGGCCTCCCTCTCCCTGACCCTAACGGGCTGTCCTGACCCCTCTTCCGCCTTTCTCACAGTGGGGACCACAAGCAGAAGTTTTATTGGGGTCACAAAGAGATCCTGATCCCTGTCTTCAAGAACATGGCTGATGCCATGAAGAAACACCCTGAGGTAGATGTGCTGATCAACTTCGCCTCTCTCCGCTCCGCCTATGACAGTACCGTTGAGACCATGAGTTATGCACAGGTAGATCACTGGGCCCTGCAGGGAGGAGGGGGCAGGAGGGAAAGCTCCATAGTCACTGCCTCCTTGGACAAAGGGCTTGGGACTCTGGACCGGACAGTGATCTGGGTGAAAGTGGTTACAGGCACTTGATCTTAAGAAGGCAGCGTTAGTAACCGAGGGCAGGTGGGCTCCTCACCTGGGCCAACAAAGAATTCAGGGTCAGCTGCTCCTACCTGATTCTCTCTGTGCCATCTAAGACTGGCTTTATAGACAGAATCCAAAGCACTTTCTTTCTTATAAAATTATTACCTATTATAGAAAAAAATGTAAATACTGATAAATAGAGAATAAATACCTCAAGTCCCATTTCCCGGAAACACAGCTGCTGTGTTTGAGTATATCCTTATTCATACCTTTTCCTGGATTTGACCAAATGGAATAATATTTTACAGAACTGTTTTATAATTCATTTTCTTTAGTTACTCTTTCCACGTCAATAAGTATTTACTGGTAGTGTCAGTTTTACTTTTTCAAGTCTTGTGATGAGCATCTTGGGGTAACATTTGCATATATCTTTAATTATTTCCCCAGAATAAATGTCTAGAAGTCAAACTGCTGCATCAGAATGAGCAGATTTTAAAGCTTTTGGTCCATCCTGCCAAGGTGCCCTCCAGAAAAGGTGTATAGATGTATCTGCCATCAGGATTTTGAGAATGCTTGTTTCTCTGTACCAACCAATACTGAATGTTTAGATTTTAAAAACACATATTTGAAAAATTGATAGGCATTTTATTTAATTTGCATACCTTTGATTATTAAGTAAGATGAGCTTTTAAAAACACTTATTGGCCATTTTTATTCTATGATTTGGCCTCCTTTTTTTTCTATTGAGGTGTTTGTCTTCTTTGTTATTGATTTGTAAGACCCCCCTTATAGAATAAGATATTGATTCATCTGTTCAGAATTATTATCTTACCCCAGACTGGTTTGGTTCAGTGTTTGACTAGAGAACATAAATTTGTTTGGATATCTAGATGAAGCAAAAACAAAAGCATACTTGCTAAAACTGAGCTGTCTTTTTAGTCTAGATCAGAGGTAGGCAAACTGCAGACCCAAGGGCCAAACTAGCACTCTGCCTGTTTTATAAATAACATTTTACTGGAACACAGCCATGCTCATTGATTTATATATTGTGCATGGCTGTTTTCATGCTACAAAGGCAAATTTAAAAGTTACCACAGAGACCACATGACCAACAAAGCCGAAAATGCTATCTGGCCCATTATTGAAAAGTTTGCCGGCCCCTGGACTTGAGTCAGTGATGGACATGAGTCAGTCTCACTCCTTCCCACCCAGCCCCACTTCCTCTGGCTTTCTCCCTCAGCCCACTTTCTGGTCTCAGTGTGGAAGCAGCTTGTTTCTGTCATGTACTGGCCCTGTCCTTTGGGGACAGTCAGAGACTTAGAGGGCACAGTAGAGAAAGCCATAGATAGCTGCCTTAAGAGCAGGCACCGGGACAGGTGGGGAGCAGATGGGTCTCAGTCTTGTGGGTTCTTGGATAGAATACAGCGGCTTTAACCAGCAAGTTTTTGGAAACATTTGCTCCTATTTGGTTACCAAATCATTGTGAGATAAGTTTTGGGTGTCCCTGCCTCTTTTCTGCGGGGAGAGATCGTGTGATTAGGATAGGAAGAGACACCTGTGGGAAGAAGCATTGCATATTGTTAATATTACTTTGTCTCTAGAGTCTGGAAGGGGTCACGGGAGGTGGGTTCTTGAATGGTTACTGCCTTGTTGCCCCATCTGAGGTGTAAAGTTAATAGGAAGGTACTGTTCTCATCCTCTAGATCCGGACCATTGCCATCATAGCTGAAGGTATCCCTGAGGCCCTCACGAGGAAGCTGATCAAGAAGGCAGAGCAGAAGGGTGTGACCATCATTGGACCTGCCACTGTAAGCATCCTTTCCAGAAAGCATTTTAAGTTCAAGGTTACCTTATGAAGTTCTGGGCCTGCAGGAAGCTCCCTTGTTGACTCTTCTGTCCCCGTCTTTCGTTGAAAAGATTTAGGGAATACCTGTTGAAGGTCAGCCTGTCGATTTCCAGTTAATTTTTTAAAAAGCTCTCTCCCAAGTCTGGATCACCTTTATAGTTTCTAGGGGCTCACGAGAAGATTCTTGTTTTAAGTGTTTGGCCTTCCTCATACAACCGTAGCATAGTCTTTGATTATTCCTTTAACTGTAAACCAAAGAAAAATCTACCTGGAGGCTTTATTTTTGACCCAAAGGTCTTCACATAAGGAAAAATTACTCTGTGAGTATTTTTTTGTTGTTTTTATTTAGTTGTTGCATTAAAATTCGTCTGAAGCTAAAACAAAGGGACCTTTCATCTCAGAGGCAGAGTGATTTTGAGCAGAGGCGTACACCTGTGTTATACACCTTTCCTGGGCGTTATCACCCTGGTAGAGCAAAGGAGGTGACTTAACCCTCAGTATACCTATCAGTAGTAAGCCATGTTTTACAAATAAGGCTCTCTTTTTTTCTGTGTAATGTATCTTGAGGTAGAGAAGAGATTCTTAAGCAGAAAACCCAGTGTGCAGATGTTAGCTCTTTTGGGCTTTCCTCTCCAGCCTGGCCAGAGTGGGCTGGGCCAGTAATACCAGGCTTAGTGATTCCTCTGAGCTCTGTGGTCAATCAGGAGCCCACCTTACCTCCTGATCGCTGTTTCTGCCCCTACAGGTTGGAGGCATCAAGCCTGGGTGCTTTAAAATCGGGAATACAGGTGGGATGCTGGACAACATCCTGGCTTCCAAACTGTACCGCCCTGGCAGCGTGGCCTACATCTCGCGTTCTGGGGGCATGTCCAACGAGCTCAACAATATCATCTCTCGAACCACGGATGGTGTCTATGAGGGCGTGGCCATTGGTGGGGACAGGTGATCAGCTGAGGGGCGAAAGGGACCTCCCGTACTATTCACTGCTTCTGAGTTCCTGGCACATATTCTTTCTTTCCTCTTCTTCCTCCCTCCCTCCTTCCCTCCTTCCCTCTCTTGCTTTCCTTTCCCCTCCTTTCCTTCCTTTCCCTTCCCTTCTTTTTCTTTCTTCCTTCTTTCCTTTCTTTCTGACATTACAGTTGACATTCAATATTGTATTAATTTCAAGTAGGAATGTTTAAGTCCATAAAATGGGGCAACTCCATTCCTGTCTCATGACTGACATGAGCATAAAATCAGGAAATACAGGGAAAGGGGTTTTTAAATGGCATTTGGGCCTTTCGGGTAGTTCTATTTGTTTTCTGAAGTGTGGCCATAGGGAAGCAGCAGATTGCAGTGGGTAGCAAGACTGATTCTGAAATCGGACCAAAGGAGTTCAAATCCCAGTTTCCCCATTTACCAGGGGGACATCCTGGGCAGGTTACTTACCCTTCCTAGACCTCTATCACCTTACACATCAATGGGTAAAATAGTAGTGCCCACATCATGAGACTGGTGGAAGGATTAAATGAGGTCATCTAAAGTGGCTAACACAGGGCCTCACACTTAGTACTCAATAAGTATTAATTGTAGCTAATAATAGTGAGAGGAAAAACAATTTCTTTACTCTCTGCTACTACCACACTCATATTTCTGGCCACCAACTATATAGGCGTTTTTCCCACACCAGGCAGTTCTCCGGTTCTCCACAGGTGCCCGCTGGGTGTCCTGCAGTTCAGTTCCATTCTGACACTGTCCACCTGTAGACAGCATGGGTTCCCACAGGTTAAGGGCTCAGTCCCACAAGACTGCCCTCCCTTCTGATGCCAATCTGAAGTCCAGGTCTCTGGTATTTCTGACTGACTAGCTATAAATCGGGGATTCCTCCTCAGGTTCAATAATTTGCTAGAATGGTTCACAGAACTCAGGAAAAGTTTACATATTAGCTAACCAGTTTAGTATGAAAGGATAAAACTCAGGAACAACCAGATGAAAGGGAGGTGTAGGTCAACACATGGGGGGGCAGTGCACAGAGCTTCCAGGCCCCCTCTGGGCTCACTGCCCTTGGTGTGCTCACCAACCCAGAAGCTCCCCAATCCCCATATTTAGGGATTTGTGTAGATGCTCCATCGCGTAGGCACAATTGATTATTAACTCAGTCTCTACCCCCTCCAGAGGATGGGGAGGGGGGCTGAAAGTTCCAAGCTTCTAATTATAGTTTTTCTGGTGACCAGCCCCATCCCAGGAGCTGGGGGCCCTATGCAGGAGTTGCCTCGTTAGAACAGAAGATGCTCCTGTCACCCAGGGAATGCCAAAGGATTTAGGAGCCCTCTGTAAGATGCTCCAATCACCCCTGTTACTCAGGAAATTAAAAAGTATTAGGAGCCCAGTGTCAGGAACTGGGGTCAAAGATCAAATGCTAGAACAAAAGATGCTCCTAGCTTCCTTATCACTTAGGAGATCACAAAGGTTATAGGAGCTCTGTATCAGGAACCGGGGGCAGAGACCAGTGTATATATTTCTTACTATTTCACAATGTCCTCATTATTTTTGTTGGTGGGAACAATAATCAGTATACTTAATACCATCATAAACATTAGTCATTGCTGGCAATCATTATTACTACTACTTTTACTACTTCTACTGTTTGGCTCAAAACCAAAAGCTTTTGGGAGAGTGAGTCACCTCGTCAGTCTCCCTGGTTCTCCCACGTCATTTCAGTTGGAACTCCTGGATGATGAAGGACTCTTGCCCCAGTCTTCAGGGCTATAGCCTGGGGAACCCTGGTTCCCGGGTGATCCCTAACAAAAGGCTCCAGAGTCACATGAGTCTGGGCAGTGCCGCTTGTCATTCTGGGCTCTATGAATTTATAATGCTCTTGAGCATCTCAAAAGCACATGGAGATCTGCAGGGAATCGCACTTGGCCTTAATCCTTTTGCAAACAAATTCATGCGACAGTAGAAAATAAAAATAATATAGACATTCTAACAGTAGACTGCCATTCTGGGAAATAGCTTGGCACGTTACATATTAATTATCTATTGCTATGTAAAAGAAAAATCACCCCAAAACAGTGGCTTTAGACAACAATAACCGTTTATCAGGGTTACAGGAGGGGCCTCATCCACATGGCTGGCAAGGTAGCTCTTCTCTGTGGCCTCCCAACAGGCTGCTTAGTGTCCTGAGGACATGGCGCTGGGCTTCCCATAAAGGGAGAGTGCCAGAGAGAAGCTATTCTTTTTATTTATTATTTTTCACACCTACAGCACCTGGTCTCCTATCCAAGTACTAACCAGGCCCAACCAACCCTGCTTAGCTTCCGAGATCAGACGGGACTGGGCTTGTTCAGGGTGGCATGGCTGTAGACAAAGCTATTTTTATAACCAAGCCTCAGAAGTCAATATAGAATCAATTTTGCCACATTTTGTTCATTAGAAGCTAATCATTAAATCGAACCCATATTCAAGCATTTGTGGACCTACTTTAAAATCACCAGTCATGCACTCTCCAGGCATCTCTTACCACCAGGTGAACCTCTCTGGGCTTATTAACTCTTCTTCCTTCCCTTCCTTTCCCTTCTCTTGTGCTCATTTACTGCCTCCCCGCACCCTACCCCCAATATTCCTAAGGCATCTCTGGACCCTCCCTGGGCATCCATACCCACAAAAAACCCACAGCGATGTTAGTACAAGCATGCTTCCCACACCTCACCTGAACACACACCTCCCCAAGCCCCCTCCTGATTCCATATGCCCTCTCTGCTCTCCCCAGGTACCCTGGTTCAACATTTATGGATCACGTGTTACGTTACCAGGACACTCCAGGAGTCAAAATGATTGTGGTTCTTGGAGAGGTGAGTTATTTAAAGAAAAGACTTAAAACTTTTTCTGATTGTAAAAGTTATATATGATCTCAGTTTTTAAAAAATTCATGCATTTTGGTTATATATAATTTATGGTGTAAAAGTTATGTATGATCTCAGTTTTTAAAAAATTCATGCATTTTGGTTATATATAATTTACGGTGACAGTCCCTGGTAATCCTGCCCCTTAAGCGACTCTAGGACCTAGAGGTTGTCATTTTTAACATTGCTGTGTTTGTTCCTGAAAAAGGAGTTCTTGCCTCTTGGTGGCATTAAGACATTTCAGTGCCAATAAAGAAGAATCCGTGCACTGTCTGGCCACGTTCTCTACCTGGTGGGATAGAGGATAGCTATAAAAAGTGAAAAGTATATTTTTTAAATTTGGGAGAGCCCTTTAACCTCATCCCATCCCTTGGTTGTACCTCTGATCAGGTCTGGTCCTAAATCATCTTATACCCTTAGATCAAAGAAGGGGAGTCTCGGGGACTCCCCTAGGATACCCACTATCTCTCTGCAGTTTTTCTTTTCATCTACCCTCATCTTCCAGACTGTTATTTGGGCCAAGCTGTTGTCTCCTCATTTTTTAGCCAGGTTGTAACTCAGGACACTTGACTGCTCGATTTGGGATAGATTTTCCTGCTGCAGTGCTGCTGCCCTTGGAGCAATTCAAGATGGGTGCCACTAACTCATGGGCTTTTTCTTGTTCCCTGTTCCTCGCAGATAGGGGGCACTGAGGAGTATAAGATCTGCCGGGGCATCAAGGAGGGCCGCCTCACCAAGCCTGTGGTCTGCTGGTGCATCGGGACCTGTGCTACCATGTTCTCTTCTGAGGTATGGCTGGGACAGATCATTCCTGGGTGGGGAGTTGGGAAGCTAAGAGATGGGGAATTTGAGGGGAACCGTGTGGTCATCTCATAAGCAGCTAGTTCCTTCAATAAATGTGTATTGCTCAGTTACTACAAGGTATAGCCAGGGCCTTACTCTGTAGGAGCTTAAGTCTAGTTGGAGGAGACAAACTCATCAGCAGATTAAGGTGAGAACAAGGCTATGAGTCCCTGCTTGGAGAAGGAGTGACCTACTCCCTGGAGGAATTCAGAAGGCTTCACTGAGAAGTTTACTAAGCAAAAGGGAGGTCGGGGCGGGAGAGGACACACCCCAGGCGCAGAGCTGGCTAGGTAGGGGTATGGTGCTAAATTCTGTGTGGAGAGAGGTCGTAGAAGGAAAGGAGGTTTTTCGACACGTCAACATGCCTGGCAGCATATAAGTCCAGCGTATAACAGATGTTAGATGTAAACACCCAGCTCTCTGTTTCCAGCTAGGTGTGATAAGCCAGACTCCAGCCCTTATACGCCAGCTTATAGAATCTTTTATCTTGAAGATGGCTCTTCAAATGATGATGCAACCAAGGAAACAAATACTTGTCACCTATCAGTTCATCAGTGGCTGAACAGGCTCTAAGTATGAGGCCCTATCCTCGTCCTGTGTATATCAGAAGATAACACCTGGCCTTCAAGGCTTCCCGCAGCAGTGACAGTCCTTATGCTTAAAACCTCCGTTCTCCCTACAATTTTTTCTCCTGAGAATGCTTGCCTTTCCCCTTCAGATTCCTGCCCACCTCAAAGTGGCCATATCTGTCCAGTTGTAAAATGTACTTTTCCATTCAACCAGCAGTTCCGTTTCTACAAATTTCCCTATGGGTATGCATGCAAAAATATTTCAAAGTATGTGTACAAGGATACTCACTGCAACGTGTAGTGGCAGAAAATGAAAACAACCTTAGTGCTGTTTGGGAGAGGACTGTGTCATCATGGCACAGCCACATCATGGAAAGCGGGGCAGGCAGGCAGAAGAATGAGGTGGATCCTGGTATGTCGATACAGAAAAAGTTTAAGATTTGTTAAATCTAAGAAAGGGCAGAATGCAGTTAATGTTTATAATATCCATTTTGTGTATGTATTAACTGTGTGTGTGTCTATTTTCCAAGTAGATAAAAGGGGAGGGGGCCCATCCTTCAGGGGTGAGCTCTACTTTCACAGGCTTTAGGATAGATCTTGATGTAGCTGTGTGACATAGGCAAGTCATTTAGCCTCTCTGTACCTCAGTTTGCTGAGCTGTTAAGCGAGGATGATACAGGATTGTTGTGACTTAAATAAGAAAGTAATGGTAAAGGTCCGGCACGCACAGGTCTTTGCAACTATTCTTTTCCATTCTTCTTCAGTCCACTTATTCCATGAAGCTGTTCCCGATTCTTTCTTCTTGACTGTTCTCCCCTCCACCCCAGCAGCCAGAAATAATTCCTCCCTGCCTTCCGTTGCTTCTCTTGACCAGCTTTGCATTACTGCTCTCCACCTCCCCACCTCGACTCTTAGAGGACACCTCCGAGAGGGCAAGGACCTTGCTCTTCTGTTTCTGTCCGGGCACTCACCATTACTCTGTGGGTAGGGTAGGACCTCAAGAGGTGTTTTGTTTTTGTTTTTTAATTAACTTTTAAAACTTTATGAAGTTTTAAGCATATACAATGTAAAGTCGTACAGTGACTGCCTAGCTCATAGATGATTTTTGAATCCTTTAACAGGTTACATGACCTTACAGAACTTCCTACCCTGCGGAGATTAGATACACAACTAAATCTCTTCCCATTGACAAACTGAGACAGCTCCTCGGGGAAAACAGAATTAAGAACTGGGGAGTGAGGATAGAGATGAAGGGGGTATTGGTAAGGTGACATTTTTCAGAAGTATGTTCCACAAAACACTGGTCCTGTAGCAATGGTCCTCAAAACAAACCAAACAGAAAAACAAGGGAACTTATAAATTATGAACATGCAATACAACCTATCTTCCTTTTAACGTTTTCCATTTCCGTTTTGAGAAATCTCAGAGTTAAAGAAACTTGGTTAACTTTCTTGAATCCAGCATTTTCTAAGTTTGAGTGCAGAATCTTTTCTCCTTCCCACCCCATCCACCCATGCAGATTAAGTCCTACAAAGAGTGCATGGGAACCCGCACTTTAAGGCGTGTTTTGCTAACCAGAGCAGTGATGCCTACCCTTTTCAAGACTTAAGGCCCCTTTTAATATATTTAGTGCACAGTTAAGAGCACAGTCAGAGGCTAAATTGCTTGGGTTCATATGCTACCGCATGTTACCTGTGTGGCCTTGGGCAAGTTACTTTACCCCTCTATGCTTCCATTTCCTTTTTTACAGGAAACAGTTGTAGCTACTAAAAGATTAAATGAGTAAAGCTCTTAGGACAATGCCTGGACATCATAAGTGTTATTTAAATGGGTTTGGTGTGGTTATGATTACCTACCACCCCCTTCCCTAAGTCAGGGTTTTGTACCAGATGTTTGTCTAGGTTGATTCATTTTCCCCATTGCTTCACTAAAGATGTTGGTTTTCTCTTTCCTCTCATTCACTTCCCAGTTAATCAACCTCTATATTCTACTGGGTTTATATTTTACCTCAGTGCATGCTCAAGTGGAAGGTGGCAATCGCTAATTGTTGCTATGTGGGAATAAAGGCCTAGAATGCAAAAATCTGATTTCTTCAAAAAAGCTGAGAATTCATATTTTTATGTGGGGGAAAATTTTTTTTTTTGAATATTGGTACCTATTTTACAAAAAGTATGTGCAGGACAATTAGATCATGTCTATGAGCTCAGTTCGGCCTCAGGTTGCCCCTTTGTAACTTCACTTCTTACCTGTTGTTCAAAACTAACCCCTGTCTTCCATCCCCTAATCACTGCCCCTGGGGAGCAAATGAAATTGGAAGTTGGGCTACCAGGCTTTGTATCCTGGCTCCCATAAACAGCTGCTGTGTGACCTTGAGTGAGCTTCTGAACTACTCAGTGCCTCAGTTTCCTCATTATTAAAATGAGTCATTCATTGTACCTGTTTAGTGAGCCTGCTTGGGGCTTGAATGAAGTGATTCAAGAAGAGTGTTTAGCAGGGTCCGGTCCATAATGAGTGCTGATGTTTCCCAGGAGCCTTAGTTCCCTCTCAGGGGATTAACAAGCCCAGTCAGGCCACTCTCCCTTGCCTTCTAGGTACAATTTGGCCATGCCGGAGCTTGTGCCAACCAGGCTTCTGAAACTGCAGTAGCCAAGAACCAGGCTTTGAAAGAGGCAGGAGTCTTTGTGCCCCGGAGCTTCGATGAACTTGGAGAAATCATCCAGTAAGTGCACCTCGGGGAGGATGCCAGCCGCCCCCTCCCTTTCCAAATCCCTCCTGAGGACAGCAGCCTCTCCAGCATGGAGGCATCCGATATTCCTGGTCCCTCTCAGGCATCTAGCGCAGCTGTACGGATGGTCCAAAATCCTTTCTTCTCTTTGGCTTTCGTTTTGTTTGTCGAAGCAGCAGTTACAGGCTGTTCAGCCTGGTGTTAAATAAAACCTGTTCAGTTTCTAGAGCTACTTGGCTGGCCATAAAGGAGATGAGCCTTAGAAACATTTAGAAAGTGTTACCTCTAATCAATGGATAAAGAGTTATTGGATACCCTGTTGTCTCTTCCCATTCCTCTTCTCTGCTCTCCAGATCCATCTTTCTATAGCGCCCATTTAGAGGAGTAGGGAAGTCTTGTCCAGAACCTGTTTTCATTTAGTTCTTGGGGATCTGACTAGTACGAGTAAGTCACTAACAGAAAGTGGGTAGAGAGCTGGGAAACCTAAACTCTTTGGGGTTAGATGGAAGAGCATTCTTGGGATGACTAAGAAGAACCCAGAAGAAGATGATCCACATGGGTGTCTCTTCTCCTGCCTCCCAGGTCTGTGTACGAGGATCTTGTGGCCAAAGGGGCCATTGTACCTGCTCAGGAGGTACCGCCCCCGACGGTGCCGATGGACTACTCCTGGGCCAGGGTAGGTGCCGTGTATGTCCCTCACAGTGTGGGCAAGGGAGATTTGGGGGCTAAGGTGGTGGCTTTTGAGTCAGTTTGGCTTGAACCCTGAAACCAGGCCCACCGTAGTAGTTAGAGCAACCGTGCAATCACTGCCCTGGGCTCCCAAACACACCCTCGAGGGAGGTTTATCCAGGGGTGCAGGAGAAACCAGGCGACTGACTCTTGGACTCCACCCACGCCTCATGTTCTGGAGCTTGTGAGGTGGCCCCTTCTGACCAAGAAGTAGAACAAATGCAGGGCCCAAGAGGACAAAGGGCAGCGTGTACCTCCCACAGCTGGGTGGCCTGACCTGGAAATGGGGGCTAGGGCAGACGATGTCCCCTAGAGTTGTCTCTACTTCCTAAGAGATTTCAGGGTAAAGTAGTCCCTACTTGTCTAAGGGGTGTAGATGAACTAATTTTCTTAATATAAAAGAACTCTTAGAAATCAATTTTAAAAAGACTGATAACTCATTAGAAAAATGGGTAGGAAATGGCTTTTCAACATGAAAAATGCTCAACCTCATACATTATAAAGGTCACCAAAGTAAAAACTGTGATACCGATTTTTCCCTATCAGGCCAGCGAAGATAAAAATTCTCTGGTAACATGCTGTGTTTGTATGGGTGCAAGGAAACTGGTGCACTCATTCGTTGTTGGTGGGAGTGGAAATTGACACCACCTTTCTGAAAGGCAGTTGGGTAATATGAATCAAATTTAAAAGTGCTCATACTTTGTGGTCCAACAATTCCACGTCTAGAAAACTACTCCAGAGAAATACTCGCATATACACACAAAGAAACATGTTCAAGGATGTTTTCCTAGTTGATACTTATCAGTGGTGGAATAGCTAAATGGTGATATTGTCCTATGATGGGATACTGTACAGCATTTAATAGGAATGAACTATATCTATGTGTATACCGATGTTTATAGAGCTCAAATTCATTGAGTAAATATCACGTTATAAGACAGTATATCTATTGTGATCATGAAAGGTATACACACATAAAACAGTGTTGCATATTCTCTGTGTGTCTATGTATGCACGTAAATAAAAGTGGAGAAAGAAAGGTCCAGAAAAATGTCCACTAACAAACATTAAGGCAGAAAACCAGGATGGGGGTGGAGGTCTGAGGTGACATAACTTTATCTGTTCTAAATTTTTAAAAAGGAGATGGTACTCATGTTACTTTTATAATTAAAACGTAAGTTGAAAGTATTTTTTAGTTAAAGTTCATAGGGGATAATTAAAGAAATGGGCTTGGACAGCATTGGCTGCTGTGTGCCCCAACTCAGGAAATATGAAATTCAGGGGCTCAGTTCCTTCCCCTGGGCAAAGGACATCTTGAGGGGTGCCCCCATTTCCACAGCCATGTGCCTTATTACACTTTGGTGGGAAGTTGGTAGCTATATGTGAAGTGTTTAAAATTTTTTCCTTCAGATTCATTCTTCTATTTCTTAGCCAGGTGACCTTGGGCTGGTTACTAAGCCTCTCTAAGCTTCATTTCCTCTGCTATAACGTGAGGAATGATTCTCCTTTGTGAGGTTTGAGTGAACCAATGGGTGGAAACAGCTTAGCACACCGCCTGGCCCCGCAAATGCTCAGTAAAGAACAGAACAGTGCCAAGGCTGAGCAGGTGCCATGGGCGTGGCACTCTTATTTTCTTTGCCCACAATGATTCGGTGAAAGGACTTTTGCACTTCTTTCTCAGGAGGAGTTAGTCTTAGAGTTGTTACTTGCCCACCAGAATTTAAGACTTTCCTGGGACACTGGTTCTGAGAGCACAGTCCAGGAAAAATCTCTGTGGTTACCTTAGTGCTGCTTGTCTCTGCCCCCATCTCTATTTAGGAGCTGGGCTTGATCCGCAAACCTGCCTCATTCATGACCAGCATCTGCGACGAGCGAGGACAGGAGCTCATCTACGCGGGTATGCCCATCACTGAGGTCTTCAAGGAAGAGATGGGCATTGGCGGGGTCCTCGGTCTCCTCTGGTTCCAGAGAAGGTGAGGCATGGAGGGGAGAAGGTGAGGCATGGAGGGCAGAAGATGCTAGGGCCTTGGGACCCGGAGTTAATGATTTTCCCTGACAGGAGAGCAGGGACTGGCAGCCTTGGGGGAATATGTCCAGGGTCAGTCTTTATGGCCAAAGATCAGATTTAAGGCCAGAGTAAAGAAATACAGGCTGTACCTAAGTCTTCTAAGGACAGAAAAGCCAGTCTAAACCAAGAGAAATAGAAAGCAGGACCTCATCAGGGATCTTGGATCAGCCCCTTTACCTTTGGATTTTTTAAAGACACGGAACAGAGTAAATTGGTGCCTTTTTAGCAAAAGGAGGGAGTTAGCAGGAGAGATCTGGATGGATCTGGTAGCTCAGGGTGCAGGCCTGTGGACTTACTGAACAGGCATAAAGTACCTTGTATCATCAGCCTGAATGTGAGAAAAAAGTTTGATACTCTCTACAACTCCCAAGCTTATCCCTCCCTTGGGACTGATGACTGGGCAAGGGGGCCAGTGAGTACATGATTCACAGAGCCCTGGCTTGGGGTGGCACCTTTCCTTCCTGGGAAAAGTTCATGGGCTATAACACCTGAGCAGGTTTTACTCTGCTCTTGCATCCTCACGTCTCCGGATGACATTCTAAACATCAGTTGGTAGGTTCAACACTAGAGGAAGCCTAGGGCCTCCTATAATGGGACAGGGACCTCACCTCCTCCCTGTCTGGTCCATAAATGGGAGCCACAAAGACAGGTCAAGTCCTGTCAGAGCAACTCATGCCAAAAACTGCTGACTAAAGAACAGATTTCAAACCCTGTTTGCTAACTATTTTAGAAGAAGCATTTGATATCAGCTGCTCAGGAATCCAGAGGTTTTGCCCTGGAGTTGTGTGATAGTGTTAGACCCGAACTGTCAGGTTGTTGCCCTTCTTGAATTTGTTTAGGGAGATGGGAGAAGGCGGGAACATGGCCTTGTCAACGTGATCTCCTGTTCAGCAGCTCACCTTTGTTTCCACCCTCCTTTCTCTATCCCTTTTCTCACCGTCCTCTAGGTTGCCCAAGTACTCCTGCCAGTTCCTTGAGATGTGCCTGATGGTGACAGCCGATCATGGGCCAGCCGTGTCTGGCGCTCACAATACCATCATCTGTGCTCGGGCTGGGAAGGACCTGGTTTCCAGCCTCACCTCGGGGCTGCTCACTATTGTGAGTACGGTGGTCCTGGGAGGTGCACAGTGAGAACAATGGGCTTTGACCTCATGCTGCTTGGCTGCAGCAGGGTCCTAGAAGGAGCCCCTGAGGGTAAAAGCCCGTGCTGGGGTTGGTTAGGGCGTGCCAGATTGGTTTGCAGAGCTGAAGGAGACTCTTACAGCTCAGGGGAACGTGGGCTTGTTTCTCCTACAGGGGGACCGGTTTGGGGGCGCCCTGGATGCAGCAGCCAAGATGTTCAGCAAAGCCTTCGACAGTGGCATTATTCCCATGGAGTTTGTAAACAAGATGAAGAAGGAAGGAAAACTGATCATGGGCATCGGTCACCGAGTGAAGTCGGTAAGTTGTTGCTTTCCTTAAGGGACTGAGCCTACGGAGTGGATGGGAACAAGAAAGCATCAATTTAGTTGGGAATACCCAGGCAAAGCTTTGGATGTGTTGACAGATGCTAACGTTAGAATACAGATTGCCCTTAAACAGTTTTTATCATGTTCAGTTTTGGTGTGAAAATACAAAAAGCTGGAATCTTGGTAACTTTAGCTTTCCAAATGAACCGTATAGGACTAAGGCCAGGGTTAAGGAGACATATCAGTCACCTTAGGCTAGCTGTATGCTTCAGTAACTACCAACTCCAAAAATCAAGTATCTCAATGGCTTACAGCAACAAAGATTTGTTTCTTATTTGCTCTACACCCACTGGGGGATGGTGCCGACTCTGTTCTCTGTCATCTGTGCTGAAGAAGCAGCCCTTATCCAAGATGTGTTGATCTCCCATCAGAAGGAAAACAGTCATGGCAGAACTACATGAAAGCTCTTAAAGCTTCAGCTTACTTTCACTCGAATGTCATTGGCCAAAGCAAGTCACATGGTTAAGTCTGACATCACTGGGGCAGGAAAAGCAACAACATCAAGTCAAGCCTGATTGGTAGAGCCACAAGAGTGAATATTTTAAGTAGTTAATATGAGTCTCCCACAGGGTAGATAGCCCTTTGTGTGTCCTGGTAATGAATTCTATTTAGAAATCAAAGGGAAAGACAAGAGGTAGCAGCAGCTGCCCAGGGCCTTACAAGGACAGCTTCTTATGGGACCCTTTGCTTTGGGGTCCTTGGCTGTGTAGCTCCAGAAACCTCATTTAGTTGGTCACTCCTCTGGTCTAGGCAGGGTGTATGACTCACATTCATACAAGATGGTCACGTGTGTGATCTGGAGTGCTCCCTTCTGGGTATCCAATGCTCAGCCAGCCCTGGTAGATCTCCAGAGGTTGCTTGATGAGCAAGGACTGCACTAGAACCGAGGAAGGTGGTTAGTTCTGAGGGTCATTCCATCCAGGCTTTGCAGAACTTTGTTCAGCCACGCCCAGCTCCCGAGCAGATAGCACCTCTCCGATCCAAGGTGCAGAGCCTCTTTCTGAGATGTCAGACCTGTGCTGCCACACTCAGTCTTGCAGGCTCCTTCCTTTTTGGAGTCTGTACTGACCTCAAGTGTCTCTTCCCTGAGGGAGGAGGTCACTATGGCATTGGGAAATGGCATGTGCCTAAACCCTCTCACTCCCCCACTGATAGATTATTGCTTAGTATGGGTCTCTTGACAGGTGGTTCATCTGCATTCATTGAAGGTCCAGAGTTTTTCCTAAAATTTCAGAGGTACTTGCTTAGTGTAGAACTTTGTTATAGCTTGACCAGGCTGCTGAGCTGGTGGGCAGTATGGCTAGTGGCTAGAACCTAAGATTTCTTATTGGAGAGTGGGTGAACCCCAGCCTCCTATCCCTTAACATGGTAGGACCCCTGGCCAACTCAACATCTCCACATCCCAGTTCCTTGTCTGCAGCGTAAAAGAAAGAACCCGCAAAAGCTGTTTTGAGGCCCAAATGAGATATGAAAGGACTTTAAAAATCTTAAGCCCCACAGTAGTGTCATAATCTGTGCTACATGGAATCATACATGTGGTTCAGGTCCTAGAACACACCTGAATATGAAATGTACAGTTGTGTCTACCTGAGACGCAAGCCCGAACATGTCCCTAAACAGGAATGTTAGAGTGGGTCCTCTGTAACTTCGAGTCACTTTCTAGATAAATAACCCAGACATGCGAGTGCAGATCCTCAAAGATTACGTCAAACAGCACTTCCCTGCCACCCCCCTGCTCGACTATGCGCTGGAAGTGGAGAAGATTACCACCTCAAAGGTAAAAAAAAAGTCTCTAATTCCTGAATCACAGTTTTGGGTGACTTTCTTGAGAGAAATGAGAGAACCAGGTTACCTTTTGACTTTGCAGCTAAAATCAAACCTGGTTTTCTAGAAATTTTTATTTCTGTTGCATAACTAAGTTTAACAGACATGCACTAAGTATCAACTAGATGTTGGATCCTTTGCTAGACATTGGGGATTAAACTAAGTAAGACACAGTCTCTTCTAGCCAAATGGATGTTTTGATGGGAGGTTTTTTTAATGGTGATCAGAATGCGTAATATGGTAGTAGTAGTAGTAATAGTGGAAAATTACAAGAAAAAAATGAGAAATAATTATAAATACTTGGAATTTTTTGCCTTCCCAGAAACCGAATCTTATCCTGAATGTAGATGGCTTCATCGGAGCTGCATTTGTAGACATGCTTAGAAACTGTGGGTCCTTTACTCGGTGAGCATTACAGCTCTTTTCTTTTTCATAATGTTTATTGATTTTTGTTATCGTTCCTCTCAACTCTAAAAGCAATGCATGCTCTTTATGGAGGACTTAGAAAATATAGAGGTATAAAGAAGAAAACAAAAAATTGCCTCTACTCCTACTGCCCAGAGCAACCCTCTTTTCCACTTTGAAATCAAAGAGCTTCTCATTCCTGAGCAGAAGTCGTATGCCTGTGGGGAGGACAGTCATGTGAGCCATTTTAAAACTGCATGTTGATTGTGTGTTGCAGGGAAGAAGCTGATGAATATATTGACATTGGAGCCCTCAATGGCATCTTTGTGCTGGGAAGGAGTATGGGCTTCATTGGTGAGTTAGTTGTTTATTATTGTCTTAAGAGTTTTTTAGGTTTTTTTTTCTTTTTTACCCAAGGGCCCAGCTATATCACTTATCCATGTAGTGAGTTTCTACAAAAGAGAGGTCCCATTGACTTATCATTGTTTCTAATCCTTCCTTTCTTACTTTCACTTACCTCTTATCTTTATCTTTGTTCCTTTGTTCTTGGAAATGACTTCAGTTGCCAGCCCAGGAAAATAGAATTAAACCCAACAGTTCCCTTTTACCAAGCCTGGCATCTGCCTATAGAATGGATCTGGATTTGCTTCCCCGTTTCTTCTACCGTTTTGTATTAGAAAGATTTCCCTTCCTCTCTTCTCCCCTTCACCAAACTTTAACGAGTTCACCAACTCTTAACAAAAAGATGCATTTGCTCTATTTTAGGACACTATCTTGATCAGAAGAGACTGAAGCAGGGGCTGTATCGTCACCCATGGGATGATATTTCATATGTTCTTCCGGAACACATGAGCATGTAACTGAGCCAGGAACTGTGTTGCAGTAAAGTGAAGACAAGATCTCCTCCCCCCAGAAATAGTGTGCAGACAGCTGGCACTGGAGCTTGCTATAGGATGGGCCTGGAATATAAACAGCCGTTGGTATACAGGCACCGAAGACCAATACTCACAGGCTAACACTGTTTAGTCCACACAATGAAGCTTAATATTTTTTTTATAAGCATAGAAATAAAAACCAAGCCAATATTTGTGACATCTGCTCTGCCACCTGCTGTGTTTATTATATAAAAGCATCTAAGCACTGTCAGGATGGCATTTTTCCTTATTATAGGGCGTTATAATGTTGCTTTCTTTTTTCCGTTAGTTAAAAATTTTCCCTTGGAGGAAGGGAATGAAACTTTTAAGACTTCAAGATATTATACATTTAAAGCATCCCTAATGTCTTGTTTTCCTGCTTATATAACCTGAAGAGCATTGTATTAATCTGATTTTTTTTTATGATCTTTTTGTATGTTATGCGTGAAGGATTTGTTCGGTATCTCACTGAAACATTTCATGTTGTAGACTAAAGTCTGCTTCTGTCAGGGGGATTGGACCATTGCATCCTTAGCCACTATCACAAAATATGTGGAATAGTGATTTAAAATGTAAAGTTGCAACATACATGTTTAAAATGGAAACACAAAGAAAAAGCTGTGAAATGTCTTGTGTCTTATGTTCTCTGTATTTATGCAACTGATCTGTCTTACTGAAGTCTGGGTCCAAGGACTCATCTCCAACCAGTTTGCATCTGTAATCCACAAAGATTCTGGGCAGCTCCCACCTCAGTCTCTTCTCTGTATTATCATAATTTGGTTTAAATAAACTATATAGTAACAATGAATACATACTGCTCTCTTTCATCTGCATTCCTTTGAACTGTACTTCCTAATAATTTTACTACATGTAGTTTTAAAAATACAATCCACCTCTTTAAAAAAGAATCAGAACTATTTTCCAAAAACAAAACATCCATGCCTAATTCTGCACCCCCTCCTTTCTCAGTGAACGGGAACCAAAGCTCTGCCCACCCAGACACTCAAAGCCAACAACCTGGGAGTCATCCTTTCCTCTGCTTCTCTATCTGGTTGCCAAATCCTGTTGACTTATCCTATAAATAAATTTAAGTATAACTGACATATTGGTTTCCGGGTGTACAACATAATGATTTGATATTTGTATACACTGCGAAATGATCACAATAAGCCTAAGTACCGCCTGATTTACCCCTGTCTGTTCTGCTAACTTGTGGCCCTAGTTCTACTTTTGACCCCTTACAGTCCATTCTCTACACAGCCACCAGTGATATTTTTAAAAACATCTAATTGAGCCATTTTCGTGCTTAAAACCCAAAAGTTGCTTTGATCATTTTTTAAAACAAGTATATAGGGAACAGCAGCTATGACCCAGACACTATGCGAAACACTGGACAAGCATCTCATTTAATCCACAGCAATCTGCCAACATAAGTACAGTTCTTGCTTTTAAAAGATAAATTAGTTCAGAGGTAAGTAAATTGCTCATCCTCATCCACGTAGCTGGGGCTCAGTCCCAAGTCTTTTTTTCTTTTTAAGTTTTCACTACAAAAACACTTTAAATCTTTAAAAATCCTATGTTGCTACCCAAGACACTGATCATGGGTGATGGTCTAGGGTGGCTTTTGTTTTACGAAATGACCACAGCATGATACTCACTGATAGGACACAAGGACACAAGCCACCACCCAACCGAGATGGGGGTGAGAAGCCTCGAGTGCAGCAATCATAACTGGAGAGTAGTACAGTTGAACCTTATCTCCGGTGGGAACGGCGGCGGGCTGGCAAGGCGCGTGCGCAGACCCCGCGGCCTGCCGGCCGGCTCCGCCCCGCGCCCACTATTTATTCCCAGAATCCCTCTGTGTCGCACCAGAACGGCTGGTTCGTTCCGAGACTGCAGCCACCGGGCGCGGCGGCGTCAAGATGGCGGCTGCGGCGGTGGCGGCTGCTGCGGCTGCGGCTGCGGCTGCATCACTGCAGGTGCTGGAGATGGAGAGCATGGAGACGGCCGCCGCGGGCTCGGCGGGGCTGGCCGCCGAAGTCAGAGGGAGCGGCACGGTGGACTTTGGGCCCGGACCCAGCTTATCTGCCATGGAGGCGAGCGGGGGCGATCCGGGTCCGGAGGCCGAGGATTTCGAGTGCAGCACTCACTGCTCGGAACTGTCGTGGAGGCAGAACGAGCAGCGGCGCCAAGGCCTCTTCTGCGACATTACCCTGTGTTTCGGCGGTGCCGGAGGCCGCGAGTTCCGGGCCCACCGCTCCGTGCTGGCTGCCGCCACCGAATACTTCACGCCCCTGCTCTCAGGCCAGTTCTCTGAGTCCCGTTCCGGCCGGGTGGAGATGCGCAAGTGGAGCTCCGAGCCCGGGCCCGAACCCGACACGGTGGAAGCCGTTATCGAATATATGTACACTGGGCGCATTCGCGTCAGCACGGGCAGTGTGCACGAGGTGCTGGAGTTGGCCGACAGGTAGGTGAGAGATGGAGATGCTGGCTGCCCGGGGGCCGCATCCAGGGAGGGCGCAGGAGAAGGTGGGGAGGGTAGTGCCTACCGGTGGGCTCCAATGAGCCCTGAGGAAATGCATTTGTTTCATACTTATTGAGCGCCTGCTGTGTGCTGTGGGGCAGCCTCTACGCTGGGCACTAAAGATACAGCCGGCCAGTCTGGCGAGGGCGACCTCCTCTTAGCGCAGATTCCAGGGATAAAGGCAATGAAAAAGAAAGTCCTTGTGTAATAAGTACTGTGTTGACATAAAAAACAAGTGAAAAGATAGTGGTTGAGTAGAGGGAAAGACCTTTCCGAGATCACATTTAAACCGATCTCTAAACGGCAAGGAAGAAGTGGCGATGCAAAGATGGAGAATGAACAATCCAGGCAGATAGCGCAGAGGCCTTCAGGCAGGATCCAGCTAGGTTTAGGGAACTAAAAGAAAAATCTGGTGGGGCTGGATCTAGTGGGTGATGGGGAGAAGGGTGTGCGTTCGAATAAGGAGTTTGGATTTTACTGGGTGATGGGAATCTGGGTAAAGAAATTATCTGATTTAAATAGATGATCCTGCTGCTGTGGAAGATGGAGTGTAGGGGGCAGGAATGGATGCTCGAGACTGGTTAGGAGGCAGGTGAATGCCATTTATAGAGATGGGAGGAGTCTGTTTTGGCAGTGCTATGTTACAGACACATTATTTTAACAAATCCAAACTGAATACCTATTATGCAGCAGATCAGACACTGGGTTCTAAGGTGCTTAAGATTCAGCGCTGAACAAAACAGACAAAAGTCCCTTTCCTCATTGCACTCACATTTAGTAGATGGAGAGTAAATAAGTAAAATAGCAAGTTGGATGATTGTTAAAGCAGTGATGAAAAATAAAGAATGGTGGGGACATATAGAGAGTGCTGGTGGAAAAGAACTATTTTTAAAATTAAATAAAGAATAGCTCAGGAAGACATTTTGCAAGGTAAACAGTGTTTCAGGTAGGGCATGCAGGTGTAAAGGCGGAGCTTGTCTAGATAAGACTAGCAGGAGGCCAGTGGATCAAAGAGATGCAGAGTGAGAAGAGTAAGAGAAGCCCCAGGGGGTAATGGGGATGGACCTAGATCCCATAGGGCCTTGTTGGCCTGTGGAAGGACTTGAGCTCTTACTCTCATGGATGAGAAGGTTTGGGGCAGAGGAATGATGCGATCCGATTTGAAGAATTTTTCTATGTTGAAAAAAGGATGGGGCAGCCAGGAAGGGACTCCAAGGGTAGAAGCAGAGACACTAGTTTAGGAGGTTGTTGCAGTCGTGGTGGAGGCTTGGATTGAGGAGGGAGAAGTAAAGGTGATAAGAATTGCTTCAATTTAGATATATTTTGATGATAGAGGAAATGAATTTGCTGATGGATTTGATGTGGGGTATGAGGGAAAGACTACTACTAATTTTTTGACCCAAGCAATTGGAAAGTTGGAGTTATTATTTATTAAGATGTGGAAGACTGCAGGAAAGCAAGTTTGCGAGGAAGATCAGGAGTTTGGTCTTAGTCCAGGAGATTTCTGAGTAGGCAGTTGGATATCAGAGCATTGGGAACTAGAGATTGGAGGGAATTAGCATATAGATGGTAATTAAAGCTTAGAGAGTAGGAAGAGAAGAGAAGGGGCAGTACTAAGCCCTGATGTTCTTCAAAATGTTCAAGAGGAACCAGCAGAGACCGATTTCCTATTAGCCTAGAAAGAATGGGTGTCAAGGAGGGAGTAGCCAGTCATGTCAGCCCTGTCAGCCGTAAGTGATCGTTGAATTTAGTGTTAACGGAAGTCCTTGATGGCATTGACAAGTCATTTAAGTCTTGCTACAAAGAGGATCAGAAAAATGTTACACATGGAAATGTTTGGGGAGTCCAGGGAGGTCTTCTTCCCCCCTCTAAGATAAGAGGTACTAGAGCATGTTTGTGTGCTGATGGAAAATGAATTAGTGGAGGGGGAGAAATTGATGTTACGGGAGCAAGGGAATAATTGCAGGAGCAGGCCTTGAGAAAAGGAGGAGATATAAAATTCATATTAAAAATGGAAAAATTGGACTGGGAAGGCAGAGTACAGGGAACAGCTACAGGTAGATTGGGTGGGTGGAAGGTGAAGTTGCGCCTGGCTATTTGTTTTCTCAAAGCATGAGGTTGGATCATCCATCAGAGGGTGGTGTGGGGCGCCTGTAGATTGGAGGGAGCAGGGTTTGTCGAATGAAAATGGATAGAGAAGAGTCATTGTATCCATGGTGCTATGTTTGCTTCTGTCTTGTGAGCTTGTATTTTTCCGATTTAGCCTTGCGTTTTGGGGGAGAAGTAGGGATGAAGGGAAGAGAGAACACCTCAGGCAATTTACTTAAAACTCCAACTTCTCTCCAGCTGTAAGCTGCTGAGTAGCTGCCCTGTGTTAGGCACTGTTCTGAGTGTCCTACAACCATCACATCTAATCTTGTCATCAGCTCTGAGGCAGGATCCCTCTCCCTACCACCTCCCTGCTGCATACAGTCTCTCTGTTTATCATATCTGCCGTGCTCCACACTTGTTACATAAGTAATAGAAAGTGCCCAGTACGATGCCCATCACATGACAAGTGCATAGGTATATGATAGCTATTGCTTTCATAGAGCAGTGTTTCCAAACACCTGTCCAAGGGAATATGTGTCAGAACTACCTGTAGTGCCTGCCAAAAATAGGATGGGGGGGCAGACAACCTGGAAATCTAGTGACCATGGCACCCAGACATGTTTGAGAACCACTAGAGCTCTTACCATTACACCTTGTCTTTGTCTTCTAAGATGGTATGTTCCCTGAAGAGGGTGAAGGGAGCCTGTCTTATTCATCTTTATATCATCCTTAGATGGTTATGTAGCATAATAACCATAATAACAAATGATTACTAAATTAGGCCTGGACCGATGAAGTCATCCTTAAATTGTTTAAGGTTCTGATTTCTGGGGGCCTACTCTTTTTAAAGCAGTGGTCTCAAATTGGCCACCCTCAGGGCTGAATTCTGCCAGATTTATGGATTTGGGTGAAACTATTTGTTTGTTTGTTTGTTTGTTTTTTACTTTAAACAAATTTAGATGGGCAGACAATTTCTGGTCAATATCGTGCCAAAAACTTTTTTTTTTTTTAAGCCTGGGCTGTCCTATATGTATTTTTTATTGTTGTTTTATTTCTTGGCTTCTTCAGATGTTTGCATTTGCCTTGCCACCCTGCTCACTAAGAACCCAAAAGTGCTGCTCACCCCCGACCCCTGGCACCCCTTACTACTGCCACCACTAGCTGACCAGGGAGAAAGTTCTAGTGAAGGGAAGGTTTAAACCTCTGACAGAAAGCCTCCACTGCTACTCCTTCTGATACTTGAGCAAACAGAGCCTCCTAGGAGCCGTGTAGTCAATGCTTAGTAAAATTTCTTCACTGAGATCTGCGTCTTAGAAGAAGAGGACGGTGACTGGCCAGAGATTAGGGCAGTATGGCATAGACAAATTGGAATTGGAATTGGCCTTTGTCAAGGGCAAATTAAAGTGAAAATAAAGTATGAGACTGTTTTACTTTATTAAAGGATATGTTCTGGAAAATCTCACATAATTTAAAAAACTCCATTGTGTTAGATGTAGTGTGCATAATATATAATTTATATATAAACTGTATAATGAAAATAAAATATATGAAGATGATTTTATATATACTGTTATATATATACTTTTAAACATACTTTTCAGCATAATCCTTTTTAATTTAGGGGGTTTGCTTTTTTGCAGATGTTGGGCATAAAGTGAGATGATGCTCACCATTTCAATTTGTATAATTCAGATGCTCTCAATGCATCCACATAAAATATGCACATTTGAAAATTAACCTTTTTCTTGATTTTAGGTTCCTATTAATTCGTTTAAAAGAATTTTGTGGAGAATTTCTCAAGAAAAAACTTCATCTCTCTAATTGTGTGGCCATTCACAGCTTAGCTCACATGTATACCCTGAGCCAGCTTGCTCTGAAAGCTGCCGATATGATACGGAGAAATTTCCACAAAGTAATTCAGGATGAAGAATTTTATACTCTACCTTTCCATCTCATTCGAGACTGGCTGTCAGACTTGGAAATTACAGTTGATTCCGAAGAGGTTCTCTTTGAAACGGTTTTGAAGTGGGTTCAGAGAAATGCTGAAGAGAGAGAGAGATACTTTGAAGAACTTTTTAAATTGCTCAGATTATCCCAGATGAAACCTACTTACCTTACTCGGCATGTCAAGCCAGAGAGGCTGGTGGCCAATAATGAAGTTTGCGTCAAGTTAGTGGCTGATGCTGTGGAGAGGCATGCGCTGAGAGCCGAGAATATACAGTCTGGCACGTTCCAGCATCCTGCCTCTCATGTCTCATTATTACCTCGCTATGGGCAAAACATGGACGTGATCATGGTTATTGGAGGCGTGTCCGAAGGAGGGGACTATTTAAGTGAATGCGTGGGATATTTTGTCGATGAGGACAGATGGGTAAACTTACCCCATATTCATAATCATCTGGATGGACATGCTGTTGCAGTAACAGAATCCTACGTGTATGTTGCTGGATCAATGGAACCAGGGTTTGCTAAAACTGTGGAAAGGTATAACCCAAATTTGAATACATGGGAACATGTTTGTAGTTTGATGACAAGGAAGCATTCTTTTGGGCTAACAGAAGTCAAAGGGAAACTCTATAGCATTGGAGGACATGGCAACTTTAGTCCTGGCTTTAAAGATGTGACTGTTTATAATCCCGAGCTTGATAAATGGCACAACTTGGAATCAGCACCGAAGATTCTCCGAGATGTCAAAGCACTGGCCATTGAAGACCGCTTTGTATACATTGCTGCCCGTACTCCTGTGGACCGGGACACCGAAGATGGATTAAAGGCTGTAATTACTTGCTATGATACCGAGACTCGACAGTGGCAAGATGTGGAGTCTTTGCCACTTATTGACAATTACTGCTTTTTCCAAATGTCGGTGGTGAACTCAAACTTTTATCAAACAGCATCATGCTGTCCCAAGAGTTATTCTCTAGAAAATGAAGAGGCAGTCAGAAAAATTGCCAGCCAAGTTTCTGATGAGATCCTTGAAAGCTTACCTCCAGAAGTCCTAAGCATCGAAGGAGCAGCCATTTGCTATTACAAAGATGACGTTTTCATTATTGGTGGCTGGAAAAATAGTGATGATATTGATAAGCAGTATCGGAAAGAAGCCTACCGATACTGTGCTGAGAGAAAGAGGTGGATGCTTCTTCCTCCCATGCCACAGCCACGTTGTAGAGCTACCGCTTGCCACGTGAGAATCCCGTACCGGTACTTACATGGCACACAGAGATATCCTATGCCTCAAAACTTAATGTGGCAGAAGGACCGGATCAGACAGATGCAAGAAATACATCGGCATGCCCTGAACATGCGGCGCGTGCCAAGCTCTCAGATCGAGTGCTAGGTTCTCTGATAAATGCAGCTTAAAACAGACGTGCTTCACGAGGCCGAAAATGTCCAGACTGTTACTTGAAAAAGTATGTCGATAACTTATTTTCTACCTGAACTGATTATTGCCCCATAGAAAGGAAATATAGTTAAAAACCGAAGACTGGGAAACTCAATTCAATACATGGTAATGTTTTGTTAGCTGGCAATCTTTCTGTCTTTGTCTTTGATTTGTGTATATATGCTAGCTAAATAAGATCTTTTTAAAGACAAGTGGGAAAACCAGGTGTAGTTACTTGGCTGTTTTTCTGCCAAGAAATTATACTCTTTTGTTTTAGGGACTTATGTTTTGAACATGCTTTAAGCACCAATATTATTTGCACATTTACTTTGATATTCCTTTTCATTTTTTCCTGAGTGGGTTGGTTTTGACAAGATCAGAACTTATGCATTAAGCCCTCCTCTGCAGGAGGTATGTGCAATAGACTGAAATTTGAAGGAAAAAGCACAATATTTCAGCAAGATGATTTCAGAATGTTTGCATTGATATTTTATTGTTTATCTAGAAATACTGTTATGCGTCTTTTTAGAACAGATGACTGACTGATAAAAAATTTGTGATTGGCTCATGCATTTTTTTGAATATTTTTCATTTCTTTAGCAACTGAGTTATCGACTTCAAGCCATTGCTCAGAGATGATGGTAGTTGGCAAAAGAATTGATCTTTAGCTGATTGATTGACTACAGAGGACGTTATATATGTAATTTGTTTCTCTAAGAAGAGAAGTTTATTAGTGTAGACTAAGAAATCAAAGGCATTAAAAAATAAAAACGCTTTTTTTTAGGAGTTGTAGGCTTATTTGAGGATAAATTAATGAGTGTAAATAATGCCTATGACAATCGATATTCAATGCCTTCAGTTTTAAATTTTGTGCTAATGTGTATTATATATAGAATCCTCATCATTCCTTTCGAAAAGAAACTTTTTTCAAAATAGGAAGGAAATGGCAATTTAGAGAAATGTTGCTAAAGAAAAGCCTTATTATTTCTCAGCCCCTGGATAATGTTTTATTCGGTTGCCCTGGACTTTAATTGGAACTTTACCTGAGCCTGGAATACCAAATTTAAACGCATAATTCTGGCTCTTAAAAAGCTGTGGTTAACTTTTATTTATTTTTATGTATTCTTCTGATTCCCTTACGCACTCCCAAGCTTTATACAAATTAGCACTCAGGTTGACTCTTTTAGCACTCAGTTAACTCCTGCACTTACTATTTATAATGTGAGTCCAGTATATTTTTTTGTTTCTTTTGGAATATCTCTACTTTCTTAGACACATTCCAGAATTCTGTTCTAGAAGTTGAATTCTAAGTGCAGTGATTTTTTTCCCCCTAGTCCATTATAGTTAACCTCCTTCTTAGTTGTATCAAATATCAAAAGAAAAAAGTACAACCAGAAATTTTAGCTCTCAATTTGCTGCAAGACCATTAATGTTTAGCCCTTGGACTCTGTACTAAGTAAGAACTTTTCTGAAATATTTAAATTGGTATCCCTGCCCAGGAAAAAGTTTTTCAATAAACATGTTGGAAATCTGCATTAAAACCATTTTAGACTGGGCTGGGGATAGGAAACTGCAAGTTATATTTCTACATGAGAATATATTATCTTAATCCACCTCTACCATTTTCTCAGTTTCCATGTATTTTCAGTTACTTTAATAAAAGCCATTGGATACTGAGAAGTGCTTATTCTTAGTTGTGAGAGGTCTATGCGAATAAGGCAGAAAAGCTCATTGAGTGAAGTCCTCATTTCTCTCTGGTAGACAGTGTGAGCAAACTTCCATTTCTTGGTGGTGTTTAATTCAGTAGCTCACTAGGATTCCAGTTTCTCTACAGAAGGGTGTGATGTAAGGATTTGGAGTTGTTTCTTTCTTTCTTTTTTTTTTTTTGTCTCAGGGCTGTTTTCTGAGACAATCATTACCAATCATTACCAAAATCATTTGTTTAGAGGATGTCATTTTTTCACATGATGTGGCAGAAATTATAACTCAGATTTCGGTGTAACCTGGTTTTGAAAATTGACTGAAATTGTTGTTTTTTAACTCAGCAGGCAGCCTAGGCCATGGGTGAAAAGAAGGGGTAAGTCCTTCCTCGCATGATGACGTGTGCAGGTTTTCCTGACTACTGAATTTCTAATTTTCCTATTTGAATTCACATGTGTGATTTCACATCAATAACTTGTTTACGAATATCTCAACTAACTTGTTAATCAGGAAAGAAACCAGATTTGCTTAAATCTGTTCAAGGCTGACATTCTGAAATTCTAACCTGGAAATACTTCTCAGTGTATTTGGAAAGGTTCTCATGATGATGACCAGCCTAAAATGGCTCTTTGGGAAAGAAATTTCCTTTTTGATGAAAACTTAAAGATTGTGTTTAGTAATTTAAGCAGTTAAAAATACAACTTTAAAAAGATAGTTTAATGTGTATTTAAGCAAACCTTTTTGGTTGCTTTTGGTTTTGTTTCGTGGAAGGAAAAGAGAGGAATTGATTTTACAAAAAGTTGTAACTATACATAACTTTGAGTGAAACTGCTTATGTCTCAGAATAGATATCTTTTAACTATACCTACCTTACCATGGTTTTAAAAAATCAGTGATATATATTGAGAATGTCAGTCATGAGCTTAGTGTTTAAGTATCTCATTTGCAGTTATTTGCATGGTTAGTCTTGTGTATCTGGTATCCAACCTTGCTTTTGCTGTGCCAATTCAAAAATATTTTTCTAAAAAATTTAAAAATTCATTGACATCAGTTTTGTTTTGATCAGTTGGTTTTGTATAGTATTTCTGGGACCAAAAATTTTAAAATACTTTTAAAATACAGAACAGACGTTTAGAACTGGAAAGATAGTGTTTATGGAAGATTTGTGTGCTCTTCTGTATTTTAAACTCTTCAGGCTGCCGGTAAGGCAGTTTCTAAGGCACACTTTTTTCCTGTTCGTGTTTCTTGACTAGTGTAGCATGTGGTACGTTTAAATACTTTATTATCTGCTTCATAATTCTAATATGAACACTATACTATAGGTAGACAGGTAAGCTAAATTATGTGTATTTTAGTTACTTGGCCTAGTCAAGCATAACTAAAGAGACTTTTTTTGCACTTTCCTCAAATTAAGCTTAAATAAATAGGGTCTATTGGCCACATTCCATGTCCTTTGAAAACATACAGAATTGTGAAGCAAGTTGTCTGTCTACACTAGAAAAATAGGGTGCCTATAAGTTGCTGTTTAACTGTAGAATATTTAATGGTTTAGTCTCCTTTTTTAACTGTCAAACATTTTGGCACAGTTCATCACTCCAGTTTGTTACTTTCTTGAGAATAGTCTGTTTTTGTTATAATGCTTACATTGGAAACAAAAGAGCTTATCGTCAAGTGATGTACTACAATAACAATACAGTCATTTTGCTTCAAGGAATTTAGATAGCCACATAACTATTTGTTGCTTATCTCGTAGGGCTTTTGTCTTACTCTATATGACCATTCCTGCAAATGTCTGACAATGAAGCACATAGAGTAGAGCACTTGCTGTTAACTGAATCCTCCTACGTAATGCACTCGTGAAAAGTAGTGCTTGCTAGATGTTTAAAGATCTTAGGATCCCTGTGCTAGGGCTCATTGAGTTATTTGTAAAAGAAATACTTAGTTCAAGCTGATATATAGCGAGTTTTGGGGGCTAGCAGTATCCAAGCTCCTACTCTACTGAAAGTATAATCTTGACTCTCTCCTGTCTGTCAGAGGAGATACGGAATTTAGGACACTTTGAGACATTACATTGTAAAATAGCTTGTTTTATGTTCCTAAAGCTATCTTGTTCTATGTCAAAGCTATTAATCGTCTCATTGTAAGTTTTAAATAAACGTATTTCATTAGAGCTGGTTTGTACTGTGTGATATTTTTCTTTCTAAATATGCACTGTTGAGTATAATTGCTTTCTTTCTTCCCTCTTATTCCCTCATTCATGCAACCCTTGGCTCCCTTAAGTTGAACATTTTCCAGTACTCTTATAAGTTTAAACACTGCATTTATTTTAAAAAAGAATTAATTCTTAGTGCTTAGACTTTTTATTAGCTAAATGAAGAGGCTCATACAGGTAGGGTACTGGTTGAAGCGGAGTACTTTACTTCATCTCGCAGTGCTAATCCTGTGAAGTTGTCCCTTCTAGCTGCATATTCCCCAACATTGGCCAGCCCTGGTACCACACAGCAGCTCAGAGCACTGCGGTATATACTCATGTCATGAGCATCGTACCACTCATCGGTCTTTTCATCATAGCACTCAACATTAAAGGTGGTGGTAAAGCCATTAAAGCCACCCACCACAAACAGGAGGTCATCTACCACCTCGATGCCGAAGTTGCTACGAGGATTAAACATAGTGGGGATCGTGCGCCAAGTATTAGCCACTGGGCTGTAGGCTTCTGCACTCCTAAGTCGATTGGCTCCATCAAAGCCGCCTACCTGTGGACGCAAAGGAAACAGGGTTGACTGTTAACCACTGATTCTGTTCACCTAGGAGGCCCTTTTAGGGGAGGACCAGTGATTTCAGACCTCCCTCTGCCACTATCCTCCATGGATAAAAAGCTGCTCAGATGCTTACCAATGGTAGTGTAAACCTATTTGATAATAGAACATCAAGGGTTTTCGTTTTTGTTGTCCAAGATAAACTCACCGCATATACATGTTCTCCATAAGCAATTACGCCTATTCCACTTCTCCTGCTTCTCATGGGTGCTATGACTGTCCACTGATTACTCTCAGTGTTGTACACTTCTGCTGTAAACAGGCATTCGTTTCCATTAAACCCACCACATATGTAGACCTGTACGAAGACAGTTCCAAGATTATTAAAATTGTTACTTCTGGGGAGTAGAAAGAAAGGGGGTGTGTGTATATCCATATATATATAGTGGCGGTTGGTGGGGACACCTTCAGTGCCAGTCTGTACTAGCTGAGTTTCCTGTCTCCACATGTGCATGCATTGCTTTTTTAAGAAGTAAAATAAAATTACAAGGGGCTGCATAGTTGTCTGACAGGCTTAGTACTGCAGAGTGAGTACTGCCACTTCCGTTTTCCACACACCCCAAAGAACAAAGAAGAGCATCATTTCTGGGCTTCTTTGCTTTCACATCTCCTGTTGCCACCACCCTTCCAGCCCTGCCCCTTAGTTCTTACCTTTCCGTAGAGTGTTGTGGCACTCGCATCACTCCTCTGTTCATGCATAGGGGCAATGAGCGTCCATTGATTGGTCTCTGGCTCGTAACGCTCAGCAGTGTTGAGACGCACGTACCCATCAAAGCCTCCCATGGCATAAATAAAATTGCTGAGGACTGTTACGCTGACATAGCAACGTCTGGAGTGCATCGGGGCCACCTGGTGCCACGTTTTCTTGACTGGATCAAAACGCTTAACACTGTTGAAGTAGTCTACACTATCAAACCCCCCAATGATATAAACGTAGCCTTTCAAATAGGCTGCCCCGTGGTAGGCACGGGGACTCTCTTCCTCACAAGTGACGTTCACCCATCTATCTGCTCGAGCATCATATGCCTCAATGGCATTGGTGGGGCTCCCACCGCTCCAGCCACCAATTGCAAATAGGATGGCGTAAGGCAGTCGGGGCCTGGTAAGTGGGTTAGTGAAGTCAGAATTAGAGGGTCCATTCATATTTAGGTCATACATGGCCTTCAGGGCATTAATGATGACTGGCTTGCATTCCTCGCTATCTTTGACATAGTCATTCATCTTAACATTGTTCATGAAGTACTCAGCATGCATTAGGGCCAGGCGAACCTAAGGAGGAAATGCAGAGAGTCATTTAGATGTGGTGAGGGTCTCTGGAAAACATATCTTCAACTCTGTTTTACAGTATGCCTTTGAATTACAGTAGGGCCAAATTTTGTTTTGTTTTAAATTTACAGCTCACAGCTTGTTTTTCGGAGGTTGTATACATTTGGATTCTGAAAATGAGTTAGATAGAAGACACCTCAAATAGTCAGCGAGCTATTTATATGAATGAATAGCCCATTCATTGGGCACTGGACAGTACTATTAGACCGAAAAAAAGCTGTAGCAATTGTTCCGTAATTGAATATACAGATCTCTATATGTAAAATAACACAAATTAGCACCAAGTGGCTACAACTGAGTGTAATACTCATGGTTTGGTTACTAGTCCAACTTCTTGGGTTTGGGGAACTCAGAATTGACAGAAGTGAAAGGAAGACCCTCTAGAATTCTTTCGAAGGTCTTGCCCTCTCCTTCCCCCACTACCAGGGAGAATCTGGGTCAAAGAATATTACTGGGATAGAAGGAACTAGCAATGTCAAGGGCAAAGAAAATTGCAAAATTGTAGAAACTAGTCGGAGATGCCTTCTACCTATACATAAATATAGCCCTGGAATCTGTCAAACATCTGAATGTGGCTTTTAGGACAATCTTAGGATAAAAATCAAAAGCAAGCCATTAAGCATCCCACAAAAAATAATTAAACTTGACCTTGGGAAGCAAAACTGAAATATGCTGCTTTCTATTTTGGGGATCATGAGAAATCCATTTTAAAATGGCTTCAAACACAGCATCTTCTTGTTTGACGTTGAGCTCATCTTTCTCAATGATATCCTTCAGTTCGCTGACCGAGAGCTCTAAAAACTCTGCCGAGACTTTCACCATCTCCTCAAAGTTGTGCAATATGAACATGTAGGCCTTCTGCCTCAGTTCCGGGCAGTAGTAGTAGTCTGTGAACTTGCAGATGCCAATACAATTATCCAAACACAACTCCGACTTGAGGAACTCACAGCAGCCCCTAACAATACCCATGATGTTAAATTGGTCTGCAGCAGCCAGCAGCTTCTCCACATTGTCCGGTGTGATAGGAACGGTCCTGGTGTACGCGTATTCAATAATTAGCTTCATCATGTCGGGGGAAATGCCAGGAATGTTGTATACCTTCTTTTCAGTGTTGTTCCAGCCACTTGTAAACAAAGCTCTGAAAAAAAGAAAAACTAGCAGCCACTGATACATTTCTCTCTGGCTTACTATACTCTCCCCTACCTTTTCTTGAAGAGAGTTTGGACATTTTCTAAAGAGTGCACAGTGAGTATATTGGAAATAAATTGGGGTGAGGAGGGCAAACTGTGCTTTATACAGGGGGCAAGAGGACCTTTCCAAGCCTTTGACTTTGGTCACTCATATCATTCTTATGATAACTAGGTCCTTTTCCCATTTTGTGCATGGAGAAATTGGGATTTAGAGCTGGGAGTAAGACCTAGGTCTCTTCTGTCCCAACCCCTTGTCCACCAAATTCTATCTTGCTTAAAGAAATTAAACTTGAGCAATACACTTTTTAAATATGAGTTGTTTAATCAACACGTATCCATAATCTAATCATTTCTGTTGCTACCTCCTTGGTCCAAGCCACCACCATCTCTTGCCTGGATTATTAGGAGTAACCTCCTAACTGATCTCCCTGTTTCTGCTCTTGAGACCTCCAGAGTTTATAGTCTTATCTGTCACCAGAGTGTTCCTCTTCCACTCAAAATATTCCACTGACTTCCCTTCTTAGAGTAAAATACAGTCTTCACCAGGGCCTGCAAAAGACCCCTGAGATCTGGACCAGTCATACCTCACTGACTGTATTTCCTCCCGCCTTCTCCCTCACTCCCTTCCAGCCCCACTGGCCTTGCTTTCCTTGAATATACCAGAGATGCTTTCATCGTTGGTCCTTGTACCTTCTGTTCTGGCTGTTGGGAAGGCTGCCCCAGATCTCTGTGTTTCTCTTTCCC